ATGGCCAGTTTAGTGGTCATGAACTTCTTCAGTTTTCCTTGTCTGGAAAACTTTTTTTTTCTCCTTAAATTCTGAAGAGCAACCTGCCTGGGTAGTGCTCTGGCTGATAGTGTTGTTTTTTGTTTGTTTGTTTATTTTTCTGTTTGTTTTTTCCTTTCAACACTTGGAATATATAGTGCTATTTTCTTCAGCCTGCAAAGTTTCTTCTGAAAACTTTGCTGATGGTTTTATGGGGATTCTCTTGTATATAACGAGTTGTTTTTCTTTCACTGCTTTAAAGATTCTTCCCTTGTCTTTAACTTTTGACACGTTAATTATACTGTGTCTCAGTGTGCGTCGTGTTGAATTCTTCCTTTTTCGAATGTATTGGGCTTCTTGGATCTGTGTGTTTGTTTCTTTCCCCAAGTCAGGGAAATTTTCAGTTATTATTTTTTCAAACAAACTTTCTGCCTTCCCTCATATTTCTGTGACTCCCATATTGTGAATATGGTCCCCTTGATGTTGTTAAAGAAATCCCTTAATCTATCTTAATTAATCACACTTTCCATTCTTTTTTCTTTTTTCTCCCTCAGTTGCGTGAATTCCAGTGCCCTGTCTTTGGGTTTGCTGATCTGTTTCTTCTGGTTCATCTATACTGCTGTTCAACACCTCAATTAAAAATTTCAGTTCAGTTATTACATTCTTCAGCATCATGTTTTCTGTTTGGTACTTTCTTATATTTTCTATCCTTTGTTGAAATTTCCACTCTGTTCATGAATTACTCTCTTGAGCTCAGTGAGCATCTTTGTGACAATTGATTTTGGACTCTTCATCAGGGAAGTCACTTATTTCCATTTCTTAAGGTCTGTTTCTTGAGTTCTGTCTTTCACTTTTGTTTGAAACACATGACTCTATTTCCTCATCTTCCTTGACTCTGTGTGTTTTCTGTGCATTAGATAAAGCAGTCACCACTCCCAGTCTTCCGAGAGTGGTCTCCTGCAGGAGATAAGCCTGTCACTCAGACCTGCCCTAGGTCTGCGTTTTTTCCCTAACCTTTGTGACTGCCCAAGTGCCGCCTTTATTCTTAATGGCTCCCCATAGTTGAATGTGTGCCAAGACTTTTCGGTGTCCAGAAGTGGGAGGATCTTAGCATCTAGATGCAGGCTGGTTGGAAGCTGATCCTTGTTTAGCAGCTTTTAAAATATGCAACAAGGGAGTGAGAGGGAGCTACACAATGTGGGGACTTTTAGGTCATGTAAGGATGTTGGTTTGCTCTGAGTAAGATGGGAAGTCTTTGGGGGAGTTTGAGTGGAGACAGGGTTTTGGGATCTGGCTTCAGTAGGATCTGTCAGCTTCTGTATTAAGAATAGACCCTAGGGAGTCAAGGTAGGGGACACAGAGATCTAATTAGGGAGCTGTTGCAATAATCTAGGAAGGAGGTTATGTATATGGGGAGAAATGATTAGCTTCTGGATGTACTTTGAAGGTACAGCCAACAGTTACGCTCATGGACTAGGTGAGGGATGTGAGGGAATGAGAGGAATGAAGACAACAAGGTAGTTTTTGACCTAGGCAACGGGAAGAATGGAGCCCAGCTAACAGAAAGCAATGACCATGCTTATCTCACTGAAAGCTCTGGCTGTTGTTTGGGTCTCTTTCCTTTTA